GGCAACAGGAGAGGAGAAAAGAATGGAAGAGGAAGATTACAGGGATTACGATTGTAAGGGGAATAGTTTGACATTTCTGCAGCCACAGATGTGACATCAGGATGGAATGTTGCCTTCCTGGTCCCAGGGTAAAGGACGTCTCTGAGCAGTTGAGGACATTCTGAACAGGGAGAGAGAGCAGCAAAATGTTGTGGTGAATGTCAGTACTCACAAAACCAGTTAAAAGAGGAACAATGTCCTTCAAGCTGACTATAAGGAGCCAGGAAATAAATTAAAATGCAGAATCTCATTATCTCAGGATTATTCCCAGTGCTACATGCTAGCAAGATCAGCAAAAGGATAATACACCATTTGAATGAGTGGCTGGAATAGGAAAAAAAGGATTTAGATTCTTGAGGCATTGGGACCAATTCTGAGGGTTACGGGGTCTATTCTAGCTGGATGGATTGCACCCCAGTAGGACGGGGACAATTATTTGTGCAAGGTTAGCTAATACAGTGAGGTGGAGTTCAAACTAGAGGCAAGGAGTATGGGAGTAAACATGCAAGGCATGTAAAAGTAGACTGCAACATCTTCAACATGCATGCAAAAAGAAAGTGGTTCATGAAGACAAATTCCCCTTACAGTCCAAAATGGGAGAATTGATAATTGAGAATTGAGAACAAGGAAATGACACAGAAATTAAACAACTGCTTCAGCTCTATCATCATGAAAGAAGGTACAAATAACTTCAGAAAAATGCAAGGGAAGCAAGAGAAAGAGGAAATGAAGGAGATTCATATTAGTGTTAAAAAAAGTGTTGTAATCATTAAAGGGACTGAAATCTGACAAATGTCCAGGGCCTGATAATTTATAGCCCAGGGTAGAGGGTGGAGGAAGTAGCCATGAAAATAGTAGATGTATTTGTTGCGAGCTTTGCAAATTCTTTAGATTCTGTAACAGTCCCACAGATTGAGAGTAGGGTTACATTTGTGACTCTTCAAAAAAAAGGGAGGGAGAATGGAAAATGGGAATCACAAACCAATTAGTCGAACATCAATAGCAGGAGTAATATCGATGTTGCAGACTTGCTTGCCGAGCCGGTGTGTTTGATTGAGACGTTTCGTCACCCTGCTAGGTAACATCGTCAGTGCGCTACTGGTGAAGCACTGATGTTCCATCCCGCTTGTGTTTTATATGCCTCGGTTTGCTGGGGTGGTTGATATTACTCCTGGTTTTGTTCTTCAGTGGTTTGTATATCGGGTCCAGTTCAACGTGTCTCAAAGAGACAATTGCCGCACTGCTGGACAAATCAGGAAGGCAGACACTCCATGATACCAACAGCATCAACAAGGACAGCACCCTGAAACTACTGGATCTGCGCCTCACAACTCACTTCACCTTCAATGGCTGTATATTTAAACAAATCAACAGAACACCAATGGGATCCCCAGTATCAGGACTGATAGCAGAAGCACTAATGTAAAGATTAGAATGGACAGTGCTCTCCACTATCCAACCCAAACTCTGGGTCTGCTACGTACATGAAACCTTCATGATCATCAAACGTACAAGACTAGAAGAAACGCACCAACACACAAACAACATCCTCACCGGAATAAAATTCAAAGAAGAAGAGAACAACCACCGAATACCATTCCTGGACATAATGGTGGAACATAAGAACAACGGGGAACTCCAGACTAGCATACACAACACATGCGGACCAGATACTTAATTACACCAGCTACCACCTCAACACCCATAAACGGAGCTGCATCAGGACATTATTCAAGCAAGTCACAACACACTGCAGCAACCCGGAATTGAGCAAAGCAGAACAGGAGCACTTACACGGAGTTTTTTTAAAAGGAATGGATAGCCAAAAAGCACAATTCACCACTACCTCTGTGACAGACCACAACAAGACGACACACCACAGCCAGACATGCTAAGTCACCCTACCATACATCAGGGACATATCAGAGAAGACCACAAGACTACTCAGACCGCTAGGTACCAGAGCAGCTCACAAACCAACGGCCACCCTGCGACAGCTATTGATGAAGGTAAAAGGACCCCATACCCACAATCAGTAAAACTAATGTAATATACAAAATACCATGCAAGGACTGTGAGAAACATTACCTAGGCCAAACTGGAAGAAAACTGGCAATAAGGATACACAAACACCAACTAGCCACCAAGAGACACGACAATTCTCACTGGTCTCAATATACAAGGACAAAGAAGGACACTAATTCAACTGGGACAACACATCCATAATAGCACAAGCCAAACAGAGACATGTCAGGGAATTCCTGGAGGGCTGGTATTCCAACTGGAACTCCGTCAACAAACACATTGAACGTGATATACAAACCACTGAAGAACAAAACCGGAAAAAATACCAACCATCCCAGCAAACCGAGGCACACAAATAACAAGTGAGACGGAACACCGACGCTTCACCAGAGGCGGTCTGACGATGTTGCCTAGCCGGGTGACGAAACGTCTGCAATTAAACACAGCGGCTCAGCGAGCAAGTCTGCAACCTTGTTCACAACCTGAGCTAAAAATCTTTTCAAAAGAAAAGGAGTAATATTGGTGTCAATTATAAATGATGCAATAACAATAACTTAGAAAATACCAACACAACTAAATTAAGTCAACATGGATTTATGAAAAGGAAATTTTTTCGACAAATGTACCAGAGGTTTATTCAAGATTTTAACTAATAGAACAGAAGAAGAAGAACCAGTGGATGCGGTGTATTTGTATTTTCTGAAAGCTTTTGCTAAAGTCTCACATAAGGGGTTATTGTGGAATATCAATGTGCAGGGGATTGGGGTAATACCCTGGGATGAACTGAGAATTAGTTAGGAAACAGGAAACAGAGTAGGAATAAATGGATCTTTTTTAAGTGTGGAAGGTGGAGGTATCAGGATATGTACAAACGTGATATCACAGGAATTTACAGTGCTTAGGCCCCAGCTGTTCACCATATCTATCAAAAAATTGGATGAGGGAATCAAATGTAATAATTCAAAGTTTTACAGATGCCACATAAACTGGGTAAAACGTGTGTGATGAAAAGGGTGGAAAGAGCTTTTAAGATGATTTAGACAAGTTGAATGAGTAGGCAAATGTATGGCAGGTGCAATATTATGTGGATAAGTGTGAAATTGTTTGTTTCAATAGGAAAATCAGCATGGCAGAGTATTATGTAGTTGGTGAGAGATTGGGGATTACATTACAAATGTGGCTAGATTTTAAAAAAAGTACTTCACTGGTTGCAATTTACTTCAGCCCATTTTGAGGTCATAACAGAGGCTACAGAAATACAAGTCTAACCTTCCCTTTAACAGACTCCTCTGGTCTGCTGAAATAATTGAGAAAGTGGAAGTCAGTGCATGGAGTTAATCATGCTAACAAAATAAGCCAATCATTTGCAAGAAAGAAATTCTAGCTTAGAATAACTTTAGAGAAGTAGGATTTTAAAGACTGCATTGCCACAATAATTTTCCTCTTTTATTCTCTTTCCATAGGATTCTATTTTAGGCTGGAAAATGCAAAATTGTTGCTCACTCTTTTGGGTAACCTGTATTAAAGGTAGCAGTTCCATGAAGGTTCATATCAATCACATTTTTAAGCTGAATTCCTACAAATTGTAACTCCAATGACAAGTGTTCTTGTGTTCATCAGTGAAACGCCAAGGACAGTGCCAAAGATGATTGTTGATTACACGTTTTTGTTTAAATGCCGTGGCTTTTTTTGAAACAGACAGCAGAGTTGGGGAACAGTAGCATTTGTTGCCAGATTTATCCAAAACATGACAACTGGGAAATGTTGAGGTCATGAGAACATAAGACATAAGAGGAAGAGGCCATTGAGCCTGCTGTGTCATTCCATACGATCATGACCAATCTTTTCGTGGACTCAGCTCCACTTACCGCCAACTCACCATAACCCTTAATTCCTTTAATTTTCAAAAATCTATCTTTGCCTTAAAAACAATCAACAAAGTAGCCTCAACTGCTTCTCTGGGCAGGGAATTCCACAGATTCACAACCCTTTGGATGAAGGTCACAGTTTAGAATGTCAGCATCCAGATAAAGCATCACCAACAAATTAAACTCATGAAATGATTACAATGCAGAAGAAAATCATTTGGTCCATTGTGTCCATGCCATCTCTTTATAATAAACATTTACCTAGTTCCATTCCTGGACCTTTTCCCCACAGCCCCACAATTTTGCTTTCTATACATGATAAGCCAATTTTCTGATAAAGGGTCTAGGCCCGAAACTTCAGCCTTCCTGCTCCTATGATGCTGCTTGGCCTGCTGTGTTCATCCAGCTCTACATCTTGTTATCTCTTTTGAAAGCTTGGATTCAATCTGCCTTTGCTCAACCATTGCAGCCCGGATCTTCATCGCTTGCACCCAAAGTAAACTTTTTCCTCATATTGCCATTCATTTGTCAACACCCCTTCTCCCTGAATAGCGAGGGAGTGCTGTGCTGTCAGAGATGTGGTCTTCTTACAGATGATCCTAAACCCATGGGGTGAAACATCCCATGTTTCTACTTTGGAGAATGAGAATAATATTCCCCATCCTACAGAGGGTGGTTTAACCATACACCAAAACCAAGGAAGGGAGGAGAGGTTAGAATATATCTGAAATATATCACTGCTGCTTGCGAGAGCTTCCTGTGGGCAAATTAGTTCCATCGCATCCCTGCATTCGCCGCAGTGTTTTAGTTTACTAGAATATTATGTAAGGAAGGTGTTATATGAATACGTTTTCTTTCTTACAGAGGCAGCAGCACACTGAACTTTGTTGTATAACATTTGGTGATCAGTTCAATCTGCAGCAACCTACTGTTCCAGACAGAGGGGCAAAAAGTTAACGGTTATGGACGGCAGTACAGGGCGCACCTTCGCCCCTGACAGATACATTCCTATTCCATTCTTCCGCACTCTCCTTGTCGTTATAACTGGAGCCTAAAACAAACACTTACCTCCATTTTCGTCAGACCATTTGCTTTCCCATGTCTTATCATACTCTCCCTGACTCTCCCTGTCTCCCCCGGTCTGAGTGCAGCCGAGAAAAGCAATCACATCACCCACCTCCCCGCGGTACTACTGATTGACGCCATTGGTGCGGCTGCTTCCCTTTCCCGCAAGTGCGGAACGGTAATCTCTACGTCGTTTGGGCGAGATGCACGTCAATCATCTGACGATGGGGCGAGGTAAAGACTGGATTCGCTGATAGGTCTAGAGGGCGGTAGCCATAATTGACCGACGGAGCGTTTCAATATCTGATAGGGTGGAAGTGGTGCCCGTCAAAACGACAGGGGCATGGTCCGCGGTGTGCCTTTCAGAGATGACATGACCGAGCCCGCCGTTAGGGGGCTAAGAGAGTTACTGATAAGTTGAAAGCATGCTAAACTCGTGATGGACGGACAGCTTCGGGATCCTATTGGTCAAAGGAGACGTCCGTCAACGGGAAAGGGGTGTTCCCATTCGGAGGGTCGCGAAGAGCGAACCCGAGTAAAGGCGGCGGGAGGTCACCGAGATAGTAGGAACTGCAGATGCTGGAGAATCCGAGACAACAAGGTGCAGGGCTGGATGAACACAGCAGGCCAAGCAGCATCGAGAGGCGAGTGGGCGGGACACATTTGTATGACGGACGGACCACTTCGGCACCTCATAGGCAGTGGGAGATGCCAATCAAGGTGAGTAGCGGAACCGTCAATAAAAACTAACGGTTTCTGCTCGAGCCTTCGGCAAAGCGGCGAGAGGAAGGAGTGGAAAACGTTGGAAATAAATAACACTTTGAGGGAAGGCGGGTGAAGAAACAGTACCAATGTTCCAGACTTTTATCAGAGTTATTGTGACTCCGCCCTTCAAGAAAGTGCAGACCAATTCCCTCAACATCTGTGTTTAGGACGCTGCTGGTTTTAACCAGTGAAGGCACAGAAACTTGCACTTTCAAAATGACAGTGCACGCGAGCAGTGTCAATATATTTTTGTGGAAGATAGGCCACGTTTGAGTAATTTTTTTTCCGTGAATGAAGAGGAACCCGAGGATATGCTGTACTTGATAAGGTGCCGAGAACAAAACGGGGAGGAGGCTACCTTAGGAATTATCAAGAAATTGGGAGTAGCTGTAAATTGGTCACTTTCGGGTTAGCAAGGCAAACGCAAAGTGAAATACTTTTATTTGTTTGGATGAGTGCAACACCAACAACATTCAGAAGCTCCACGCCATCCAGGACAAAAGTGGCCCACCTGATCCGCACCCTATCCATTAACTTTAAAAATTTACTCTCTTCACCACCAAAAACGCAGCAGCAGTGTGTGCTACCTATAAGATCTCACCAAGGCACCTTCCAAATCTGCAGTCTTTACTGTCTAGAAGGACAAGTGCAAAAGGAGGACCAAAGGTGGTCCAGTGCACCACCTGGTAGGTCAGGACGGGCTATCTACTAGCTCATGCGCAGTTCGTGAAGGGCTCGTGGTAGACAGTGCAAGGGCAATGGGTTGCAACTGAGGAAATTTTGTCCTGTCCCACACAGTTCCTTGAGACACTTTTTTTTTCCAAATTTCATCCAGCTATCCCTTTAAGGACTGTTAGGTCTACTGTTCAAACCTGGTACAATTTGGCACAATGTAAATGGTGCCAGGCCCTCGCCCACTTTGAATTTGAATTTCCCATACAGAGTATAGGATTGTGGTTTACATATTTAAGCTGGGGTGCTACACAATCAAGTCATTATGACCTCTGGTATACCTCAGATCCAGAATGGCTGTGATACAGCAATATGTAAAATAAGGAATGGTATAGCTCAATTTACTGGAGCAAAAGAGCTAAATCACTAGGTTAAATTTTGATGCATAAGGGCACATCTCATGAACAGGCCTAGTGGATATTTACTGGAAAAACCAAGACACTCCGTGGTAAGAGTACAGCTATAATTGGTATAATTGCTAGTGTTAGTAAAAAGAACTTGAGAAACTCCCATTCTGCACGCTAAACATGCTCCAAGACAGGGTTGTCAACTACACTCTCCACCCATTATGCGGCAAAGTGAGGCTTTTCATTAAATGTAAGATTTTAATCAGATGGACATTAGGACACTGCAGCAGTCATTAACTGAGCACATAATTCCACTGTCTGACACAATGCATAATAATATCAAAAATAAATAGAAAACTCTGAGGGAAAAGCAATCCTTCACATTGTAAGAATTTATAACTGAGTACTATGATGTTTTTTTAAAATTCATTCACAGGATGTGGGTATCACTGGCTAGGCCAGCATTTATTGCAATAAAGAGACACATGTTTAAGGAGCTGATAGGATATTAAAAAAGTTTTAGTTGCTGCACCAAAGCTGCATACTGTGTAGCAACTACTCCCTGCTACTTCTGATAGAACTACAGTAATTGCACTGTTTTTCACTTTTAGTCCTGTCCCCTACATGCAGTTTGTTTCTTCAAGATTGTTTGTAAGATTCACCCCATTCTTCATGTGGCAAACATGATCTGATCGCCACAGGCAGCGATATCTTATTGAACCACGCTAACCTAGCACTTCTATATGATGATTCATAAACTTGTCTTCAGCCATACTTGTTAATCTTCCAACTTAGAGAAGCTCATGAGAAGGTTGTTCACTGTGCACTGCAGACTTGGCACCTTCTTGTGACATGGGTACATGTGGTGGGTTTGGGCAGATACTACCCTGCAGCAGAGCAATTCAAGAAGGTTGCTTCACAAAACTAGAAACATGCAGGAAATCCATCTTCAATAATGCATTGCAAGTTACTATGCATCAGGAACTATTTGAATATTTGGAATCCACTTATGTTTATTCTCAGTAAGTGGCATAGCAAGAGACCAACAGACTGGTTGAATTACCAAATATAATACCCTCCAGATTAACACAGAGTACACCAGTGACTGCAACAGCATCCACACAACATGGAAACCACTGAAAGAACTGCTAAAAGACAATGTCATGCAAAACATTATTATAACATTGTAAATAAAATAACACTGCAATTGCAAAATAAGTAACTTATAGTTACAGAAAACATAGTGAAAGAGATTTATTATTTTTATTGGGTCAGCAAAACTCATCTTGATTTTAAAAAAAAAAAAAAAAAATTTGTAATACCACAGCTTTTAGGTCATGCTGCAAAAGACAAGTCTTAAAACTGCAGCAGTTGATAGTGTCAAGTGAAATTAGTGGATAGTGGCAACAATGATGTCATTCCAAAAGTGAATGTTTGTTGGTGAGGAGGAATAGAAGACTACTTTATTTAGGAATAAAACATGCTATTTGAGCTCTCTTGGGAATTTAAATGAGATTTAGTTTTCCTTTTAATTTCTGATATTGTTAATCTTGTAATATATTTGAAGATATTGTTAATAACTTGGCTATTGCGTGGATACTAATGGAAATGTTGACTATGAACTCATCAAGGTGTTACCGCACATGTCGTCTACTTCCTTTCAAATGCATTACAGACCAGGTACTTTGTTTTCTTACATTTTGCAGAAGTTTAATGCTTATTTTTGCATACTCTAAATGCTGATACTGTTCCCTTTCAATGTATTTTCCTGACAGCAAACTCTGCACATTATACCTTGATGGTTGCTCATTACTGAAGTCCTTGGTATTCAACTCAGACCAAATACTTGAGGCCTAAGCCTTGAAGATCAGAACAAATATCTTGAAAGTACATTAAATATGAATGTAAGAGTTTTTTTTTTTAAGAAGTTTGGAAATGCCTTGTCAGCTTAGGGCTTAGGTGTCTATACTAAGTTGATTGGATTTTGTTGTGAGACAGAAATGAATGTCTCTGGCTACCTTCAGTTACATTGATATTTATGGAGTCTAAAATGAAATAATATTATCAGTTAAAATAGTTAAATATCTCTCATGTTAGCTGGCCCAATTATTATAACATTTGTATAGCCCACTGGCTGGAATTCTCGCATGTTGCGTCACAAAATGTGCACTTCATCTGCAATACTTCATATAGTGGGTAACTAACCTCAACTGTGTGATGGGGACAAGGGAAAATCAGAGGGAGACTTTGGGTCATCTGTCAAAGACTTGCATCATAAAGCAAACAGAAAAGCAAGAAACATAACACTATGATCTGGGACAGAGAATAATGGTATCAGCAGGAACAAAGGTGAAATAATGATGGTGTGAAATGCAGCAAGGGAATAAAGTATAGCTCTGTGATTGAAAAAAGTATGAGTAAATAAGCAATTTAAAAACAACATAGCAATGATTTAATGCTGGAGAATCCCTGTCAGCAACTTCCGTGCAGGACATGAGGAAAGTTCACCAATTTACCAACAATCTTGCATAATTCCAACGACTCTTGACAGCATTGAAAGGGAAGGAATGAACTCCCAGTTTCCAGAATTGGAATCTAATAGCAGTGACAAATATTTTTCGATCAGTGCTGGTTCTCTATACGCAGCACAGTTTACATGACTTCACGTATTCTTGATTATTACAATGAACAACTGGGTGAGACACAATAATTTGCAACTTGCGAGCAATACGGTACAAGCGGGAGAAGTGATGCTTTAGCCAATCACTTAACCGAATACGAGTTTTAATTTTTTGACAAGTGGCTAGCCATCATTGTTGAGGCACCAGTAGTGGTGCAATAGTTGCTCATCATGTTTTATGCTTGCCTACATCTTAATGCGATAATTGTGATGAATTTCAGGCTTGATGTCACACACCAGCATTAGCAGTTGGCGCAGGACTTTCTCCTTGTTGCGGTGGTGGTTGGCCTGCATTGCCTGGATCTTCTGACGTGTCTGTTGCTCGACCTCTACTGCCAAGTTACCTTGGGACCCCATGACCTTTATCAAAAGAAAAGAGAAAAGAGTGGGGTGCATAGTGGAGTTCCCAAAGAGGAAGAAACTCAAATTAACGAAAGCTAATTTTTGTTTTTGTTCCCCCACGAAGCTTTCCAAGTACTCAAACTTCAAACTTGCTTCACAACAATAAAATTCCAAAAATAATAAATAATCAAAGGGCTAAAGGGGAGAGGAAATAAACACAATAACTATCATTAGAGAAAGATAAGGGAAACTAATTGGTTTAAAAGTCACTAAGTCACTTGAAACGGTTGGGTTGCAGCTGAGGATATTAATGCAAGTGTTACAGAGATACTGGACACACTGGTACTAATTGTCTAGGAATTCTCAATTCTGTAAAAGTCACAATGTAAAATTGCCAATGAAATACCCATATTCCAAAAGGGAGGGAGACCAAACAAAATGGTAGCTACAGGTCACTTAGCTTAATATCTATCATTGGGAAAATGTTAGTGTCTTTTACGAAGGATATATTAGTATAGCATTTAGAAATGTATGATCATGCAGAGTTAGCATGGCTTCATGAAGGAGAAAAAATCTCTAACAAATTTACTAGAGTTCTTTGAGGAGGTAACAAATCAGGATAGATAAAGGGGAACCAAAAGATGTAACGTATTTGGATTTCAAAAGGTACCACATATTAGCCTACTTAATAAGGGCTCGTAATGCTGGGGAATAGTACATAATACCACATAATAAAGGATTGGCAAATAATAGAAGTCAAAGAATTGGGATAAGGAGGGTTTTCTCAAAATGGCAACCTATAACTAATGGAGTGCTGCAGCAATTGGTGTTGTGATCACACTTAATTACAATGTATATTAAGGACGTATGGATGACACAAAAATAGTTGGGAAGGCAGGTAGTGAGATGACAAATAGTCTACAGAGCAATAAAGACAAGTTAAGTGAATGGGCAAAACTTGTATGATGGAACATAGTGTGGGAAAATGAGCGGTTATGCACTTTGACAAGAAGAATTGAGGAGCTGAATGCAGTTGGAATGAGCAAAGACTGCAGAAAGCTGCGATGAAGAGAGATTTGGGGCTCTTTATGCATGGAACACAAAAAGCCAGCATGCAAGTTCATTCAGTAATAGAGAAGGCAAATGTATTTTTGTTAGCCTTTATGTCCAAGGGGGTGAAGAATAAAAATAACGAGATCTTGCTGAAACTATCCAAGGCACTAGTCAGGCCACAAACAAGCAGAGAACGCCAGAGAAACTCAGCAGGTCTGGCAGCATCTCTGAAGAGAGAAACAGGTAGAATTTCAAGTCAAGTATGACTTCTTCAGAACTAATCAGACCATGCCTGCAACACTGGTAACAGTTTTGATCCCCTTACCTAAGTAAAAGTATACTGGCCTTGGAGGCAGTTCAGAGAAGGTTCACGGGGTTGAGTTTGCAGATGGAAAGATTTTTTTATGAGGACAGTTTGGGTAGGTTGGGCTTGATCTCATTGGAGCTTAGAAGAATAATAGGAGATCTTATTGAAACATACAAGACTGTTCAGGAGCTTCCCATCCTTCCTGAGATTTCCTTCCTGCCCATATGGTTCTGAGAGTATTATTTGTCCTCCGATACCTCATTTGGGAGTGATTGTTCATGTCTCGAAATTTTGTAAAGCAAACTTAGGGACATAGGAACAGCAGTAGGCCATTCAGCCCCTCGACACTGTTTTATCATTCAACGAGATCATGGCTGATCTGTGGTCTAACTCCTTATACCTGTCTTAACCCATATTCCTTAATACCTTCACTTAACAAAAAATTATCTTTCTCACATTTAAAATGAACAACTGTTCCTGTATCCACTAATATTTGTGGAAAGAGTTCCAAACCTCTACCACTTTTTTCGTGTCAAAGTGCTTCCTACCATCTCTCCTGAATGGTCTGGCCCTGACTTTCAGGCAATGCTCCCTAGTTCAAGAACCCCAACCAGTGGAAATAGTTTATCATTACCTACCCTGACTTTTCCACTAAAATCTTGAAGACTTCATTAAATCAACCCTAGATTCTGCTGCAGTTGTACAAAACCGTGGTTAGACCCCACTTGGGAGTGCTATGATCAGATCTGGGCACCACACCATATCTGGAAAGACATATTGGCCTTGGAGGGAGTACAAAAGTTTACAAGAATGATACTTGGACCTCAGAGGTTAGGTTATGAGGAAAAATTATATAAATTAGGCCTACTTTCTCCAGTTCAGTTATAATTGACTCCAACAATTTTACCCTCAACAGATGTTAAGCTAACTGGTCTGTAATTGCGTGGTTTTCCTCTTTTGCCTTTCATAAACCTTATTTGACTATGTTCTCTCCTTGGGTTAATCAGCAAATGTGGGGGGAAGAGGCAGGTTAGCATTTCAAGTGCAACTGATTGTTAGAATTGAGCATAATGTTATTTCTTTTCAAGACTGCCACCCAGATTTTTAATTTTTCTGTTCTCTCCACACATGCAGACTGGCCAAGTGTTTTTGGCTTTTGTTTTACTTCTTACCAAACATTCTGTCACCTGACATTCAAAAGTACACTTCCAGCACCAGTCACTGGACTATGATCAAAGAGACAATAATAGTCCTAACCACATGATGCTCCAGTCAATTGCACTATTTGTACTGCAGTTGTAGGTGTGGACTGCTAACATAGCAAAAACTGGGGATAAAGCAGCATAAATTGGAGGAACTCATTAAGCTCCAGGACTGCTTGAAAGTTTCAGTTAAGTCTCAGCAGTCAAATGAAGTATATTCATTTGTTCTGAAGAAGTCATAGAATCATAGAATCCCTACAGAGTGGAAATAGGCACTTTGGCCCAACGAGTCCACACCCACCCTCCGAAGAGCATCCAACCTAGACCCACCCTGCTACCCTTTCCCTGTAACCCTGCACTTCCCATGACTAACACCCTAATCTACACATCCCTGAACACTATGGGCAATTTAGCATGGCCAATCCACCTAGCCTGCACATCTTTGGATTCAATGTTAGCTCTGTTTTTCTCTCCACAGATGCTGCCAGAACCTGATGAGCTTCTCCAGCATTCTCTATGTTTGTTCCCTCCCGAAAGAACATACGTGGACCAGAATCCAAAATCTTCACGGTCACTGTGCCAACAATAGCATGGTGGCTCAAGATTTTCTTAAAATTGAATTAAAATTCTCAAAACTCCATGGTGAGTTTGGAACACACTTTCACTGGATTACAAACCTGAGCTTCTTTCCCAGTCATTATTCTCCAAATTCCCAAGCAAGGAGGAGGAAATATTCAGATAAAGTAATAGCCTAGGCCAATTTTGCACATCACTTACTGCTTCTTGCTTATGTCTGAAGTCCTTCTCCCTCTCCAGACGATACTGTTCAATCTCACCCTGTGCTTCTTCCTTCGCTTGCCTCAGCCTTCGAGCTTTGCCTAAAGTAAGAAAGCAACTGCTCACTTAAAACCTTGCATCTACATTAATGCAACATGCAGTAATCTCTTATTCACAAATGTTTGAAGTGTACAAGCTGTTATTTAACTGATATTCAACATTAGGAACCTCTCTTTTACAATGAATTGAGTGAAATAATCTGAGATTTATTTTGTTCTTTGTACAGCATCTTATGGAATTGTCAAACTGTTGGAAATAATGGTTTTTATTTATCTGATTCTCGACTGTGGTAACCAGTGGTGGCAGTGGTATATTATCGTTCACTCAAAGTCTGAGTTGCCATAATAATATACACTTTTGAATGCACCTCCTTTGGACATCAGGTCCTGAGGTGGATTTGTAACTCAGTGTCACAAACAGTGGAATTGTGTTGGAATGCAAGTGGCTTGGACGACCGCAGAATCTTGTTCAGACAGAATTTCAGCATGAATGGCCCTTTCTTGTGGAATACCCTGTGACTCACCTACTGCCTGCTCTCAATACGAAGTGTACTAGGACAAAGTCCCATCGTCAGTTCATTGCAGTGTCACATTTGCTCCCAGACAAAGGAAAGATTAGACCAATGGGCTTCTCCATTGCTGAAGAAAGGATCGTGTTACTGATTTTTTTTTTTGCCCTGCACCTATCAGGACAAATGCAAGAATGCCAAAATTTAAACAATTGCAGCGATTTATACTGCAGGAGAAAAAGGTGCTGATTGATTGGCAAGTTGACTCCGATTGGCCAGGGCATTACCATTGAGAAAGCTATAGATTCTTCAAGCTCTGGTGGCACATTTCTCTTTTAGGAACAGTTGAGCTCTGCACCACTAAACACACCTTTCTTGTCAGCTTCTTGTAAACCATTAAATTAAGAGAACAGGAAAAGTAGCATGGGACAAAGAAAAAATAGATGAGGTTCTGGAAGGAACAAGGGCAGAGATTATTGGAGAAACTCAGCAGGTCTGGCAGCATCTGTTTCCACAGTTTCTTCCTGCTGAATTTCTTCAGTGATTTCTGTCTTTGTTCATTTCAGATTTCCATCATCCAAAATTCTTTGATTTATTTAAGGAATGAGGCTTATTTGGACCATAAAGTCAGCAAAGATCTATTTGGCCAAATGGCTAATAGTTTCTGTGCTATACTTACTCAATAATGGGTAACTGTGAATAGCTTGAAAAACATGTATTTGAACTTACGTGACAATTTTTTGTCTGAGTTATAGCAGTTTCTGATGCAAATGTCATGTCCTGAGCTGTTTTATGTGGATTTGATTCATTGTAAAACCCAAAAGTCACCTGCAAATACCTAAAGCTAGAGTTGATATACCACAACAGTCTCACTTCTTGCGGCTTCCAGCAGATCAAATGTAATATCACAGCATTTAAACTTTGCAGGGTTAGCATCATTTGGTTTCCTTCAAGACTTTTAGCTGATTGAATAAGAAACTAAGAGAAAATTTGACTGAGTCCCATGCAGTATGCCAAGGATCCTTTACCCTTTTCTACAGTCTCACCGACTGAACATAGGTATATCATAAGAATTCCAGTGTATTTCTATTTTTGTGGGTCTTTAAGACATTAATTGTAAGTCGACAACCTTTACAATCATGATTTACATTGTAATGATGGTTGCCAGATTAAAATAATTAAAATAATTACTTTACCTATGAACGGTAGGTGTAAGAGAAAATATCGTGACACAATCAAACACACCTTGCTTCTAACCTTCATCTTAATCGGTTTCATCTGGCAACTGTATAGGTTCTCTTAAGTGAAAAAACATTTCAGGGGTATGCTTTTTTTTGTACATAAAACTTCAAGAATTACTTAAGTGGCATCAGTGGAGATTTATAAGTGTTGAAATGCATTCTGACTTTTGAGTCTGCTAGCCAGTGCCTTTGATAGCTCAGCTGGTAGAGCAGAGGACCATAGTAGACTAGTTACTAGTCATCCTTAGGTTGCTGATTTGATTCCCGCTTGAAGGATATGTCTTTTTTCTGTGAACTTGTGGCGCATCAGTAGCATGTCTGACTCCAAAGCAGAAGGTTGTGTGTTCAAATCACACCAGGCTTATGATGTTTAGCACTGACTGGATTTGTATCAGGGTGGAGGTTGTCTGGAGGTCCTACTTGATCGTGACTTTCCTTTTCAGCAGTTTTTGATTCCATGCAATAGTTGGGTGGGACAGTGGTTAGCACTGCTGCCTCACAGTTCCAGGGACCTGGGTTCGATTCCATCCTTAGGTAACTGTCTGTGTGGAGTTTGCGTGTTCTCCCTATGTCTGTGTGGGTTTCTGCTGGGTGTTCCAGTTTCCTCCCACAGTCCAAAGATGTGCAGGTTAGGTGGATTGGCCATGCTAAATTGCCATAGTGTCTTGGGGTGTGTAAATTAGATGGATTAGACATGGGAAATACAGGGAAAGAGTGAGGGTGGGGGTGGGACTTCAGAGGGGGTGGTGTAGACTTGTTGCGCCAAATGTCCTGTTTCCATGCTGTAGGGATTCAAATCCTTGAATTTCTGGCTAAGAGACAGGGATGCTACCCACTGCCCACAAAACCACCCACAGTAATCCCAAGGATTCCTTTTTTTAGGATTGAAGTTAAGCGTCTCACTTGCTCTGTTCTAATTCCTTTTCTTGCTGTTCTACCATTTGAGACTTTCCCTTTTACATGTCATGTTTGACTTTACTGCAGAAGCCATTTGCAATGACATACCGGATTTATTATTCTAACCACCACTGTGTGAAAAGTCTCTATTCCTTGACATAGACAAAAAGTTGTCATAACTATTTATTTCAACTGATCCATTAACCAGTGGATACTATGAAACTTCAAAAATTAGAGCATTTCTTTTAGTTTTCCAATTTAACTGTACTCCAGTGCATACAGTATCATCATTTTGAGTCTCTTACTCGCCCTACTTAGATTTAACCATACGGATTATTTTAAGACAATAAGACCATAAGATGTAGGAGCAGAAGCAGGCCTTTCAGCCAATCAGACCTACTACTTCATTCAATGAGACTATGTCTGCTCTGAAAATCCTCAGTTTCTCTTTCCTGCCTTTTCCCTGTAACCCTGCTTCCCATACTGATTAAAAATCTTCTAACTCAGCCTTGAATATACTTAATGACCCACTCACTAAATTAGCCACTAAGGCGTGGCTTCTAAATATCAGGTGTCAATTAAATATAGCCATTTTACTGAAGGGTGGGTGTGAACACATGAAGCTGTCTCCTTAATGACCCAGTCTTGATAACCCTCTAAAGGTAAAGAATTCCCAAGATTCACTGCCCTCAGAAGAAATTTCCCCCTCCCCTTTGTCTTAAATGGATGACCCCTAACTCTGAGATTATGTCCTCTGATAATGGACTCTCCCACAAAGAGAAACAATCTTTCTGTCTCTAATCTTGTATGTTTCAATAAGGTCACTTCTCATTCTTCTAAATTCTAATGAGTATAGGCCCAAACTATTCAGCCTGTCCTCATAACATAGTCTCTCCACGTCCAGGATCAGGCTCGTGAACCTTCTCTGTATTGTCTCCAATGTCAGTATATCTTCCCTCAGATAAAGGGCACAAAATTGTTCACATTCTTTCAGCTGTACTCCGAACAGTGCCTGCATAGTTTTAGCAAATCCTCCCTACATGTATACTCCATTCCCTTTGACCAGCCTTTCCTATTACCCACAGAACTTGGATGCTATCTTTTTGTGACTCATGCACAAGATCTCCCAAATCCCTCTGTTCTGTAGCTTTCTGCAGTCTTTCTCCATTTCATCAATATTCAGCTCCTCTATTCTTTCCGCCAAAGTGTTTAACTTCACATTTTCCCCACATTAAATTCCATCTGCCAAGTTTTTGTCCATTGGCTTAAACAATTGATATCTTTTTGCAGACTCTTTGTGTCATCCTCACCACTTGCCTTTCCATACATTTTTGTGTCATTCACAAACTTGGTTGTGGTACATTCATTTTCCTCAACCAAGTCATTAATATATTTTTTAAATAAGTGTGACTCCAGCAATGATCCCTATTCCCCTAGTTACAGTGATCCATTAATTATAGGTTGCCAAAATGCCTCCCTTATCCCAATTTGGTTTCTTCTACTAGTTAGCCAATTCTTTATCCATGCTAATATATTACATTTAACACCTTTTTTAAAATCTTAAGTAACCTAATGTATGGTACCTTATCAAATGCCTAAAAAAATCTAATTATATAATACCTATGGCTACCTCCTTATCTATCCTGCTTGTTACCTCCTCAAAGAATCTAGTAAATTTGTCAGGATTATTTCTCCTTCATAAAACCATGATGACTGTGATTATATTATGTACTTCTAAATGATCTGCTATTACATCCTTTATAATAGACACTAATGTTTTGCCAATAACAGATGTTAAGCTAACTGGCTTATAATTACCTTTTTTTTAATCTCCTTCCCTTTCAAATAAAGGTGTTGCATTGACGGTTTTCCAATCTTTTGAGACCTTTCCAGAATATAAGGATTCTTGGATTATTATACCAGTGCATCCACTATCTCTTCGGCAATTTTCTTTAATATTCTAGGATGCATCCCATCAGCTCCAGGGGACTTGTCCGTTTTTAGCCCTGTTGGTTTACCTCACGTTTTTTCTTCTAATAAATAATAGTTATAGTATTTATTTCCTTTCCTCCTTTTGCCCTTAATTATTTAGTAATTTTGGAAAGCTGTTCATGTCTTCTATTGTGAAGACTAATACATAGTATTTATTCAGCTCCTCTGCCATTTCCTGGCTCTCCATTATTATATCCCTAGCCTCATTCTTGAGTGGGCCAATATTCACTCTGGCCAGCTTCCTTTTTATATATTTAAAGAAGCTCTTGCTGTGTGTCTTGATATTACTTGCCTGTTTACCCTCAAAGTCTCCATCTTTATTATTTTTTGGGTCATTTTTTTCATGTTGGTTTTTAAAAGTTTCCCAATCCTCTGGTTTACCACTAATCTTTATCATCTTGTATTTTGTTTTCATCTTTGCGAGGTGATGCATTTTGGAAGATCCAATTTCAACAGCGAACTATGTGGTAAATGGAAAAGCCCTGGGGAAAATTGATGCTCAGAGAGATCTGGGCATTCAGGTCCATTGTACCCTGAAGGTGGCAACGCAGGTCAATAGAGTGGTCAAGAAGGCATACGGCATGCTTTCATTCATCGGACGGGGTATTGAGTACAAGAGTTGGCAGGTCATGTTTCAGTTGTATAGGACTTTGGTTTGACCATATTTGGAATACTGCCTACAGTTCTGGTTGCCACATTACCAAAAGGATGTGGATGCTTTGGAGAGGGTGCAGAGGAGGTTCACCAGAATGTTGCCAGGTATGGAGGGCGCTGGCTATAAAGAAAGGTTGAGTAGATTAGCATTATTTACATTAGAAAGACGGAGGTTGAGGGGGGACCTGATTGAGGTCTGCAAAACCATGAGAGGTATAGACAGGGTGGATAGCAAGAAGCTTTTTCCCAGAGTGGGGGACTCAATTACTAGGGGTCACGATTTCAAGGTGAGAGGGGAAAAGTTTAAGGGAGATATGCGTGGAGATACACAGAGGGTGGTGGGTGCCTGGAACGCATTGCCAGTGGAGGTGGTAGAGATGGGCACGATAGCGTCATACATGAATGGGCAGGGAGCAGAGGGATACAGATCCTTGGAAAATAGGCGACAGGTTTAGATAGAGGATCTGGATCGGCGCAGGCTTGGAGGGCCGAAGGGCCTGTTCCTGTGCTGTAATTTTCTTTGTTCAATTTGACGCTATTTCACAAGGCTATATCTTTGCTGTAAGCCATGAACTATTTTCTTAAATGTCTGACACGTCGGCTGAGCCACTAAGGCGTGGATTGTAAATACCAGGTGTCAATTAAATACAGCCATTTTACTGAAGGGTGGGTGTGGACACATGAAGCTGCTTGCTAATTACAGAGTAATACAGGTCAAGAGGTCTGCCTGCCTGCCACTTTAGTGTCTGTACAGTGTACATGTAGAGTTGACAAAATCTAAAAGCAATTGTGAAGAAAATAATAAAACAGATACATATATGTGGTAGATAATTGAAACAAAAGGTAAATTTAAGACTTTATCCCTCATATTATCTTGACAGTATGTCAGTTCATAATTCTAGTGGATCTCCAGAAGCATACGAGTCTTTGAATCCTTTCGTCTCCTCGGTTGAAATGATACCAAAAGAGATAGTTAAGGGAGTAGACCACACAATTTTTGAATGTTCACTTTCATCCATGAAATATGCTTAATAAATCCTGTCTTACAGTCTAATGTCTAGACCAGAGGACACTGAGAAATATAAACAAACCACCTTCAATAAAATCATATTATTTCAGATTAAAATTTATTATTTTAAAACCAATTTGAATGTTAGTCCTGTTCAAATTATTAATCTATTCCATGTCAAATGCAATAAAAACCTCCTAGATATTAATCTTTCAGGGTGCAACATGAGAGATAGGAAAAGACATCCTTAGTTAAAACATAAAGGAACCATTAAAATACAAGGTGCCATTTTAAAATCGTTGTGTACATGAAAGAAATAGATAAAATAATTAGGAAGATCTTACGTTTCCTGGCCTCAGCAACCTTCTCTGCAGCTCGTTTCTCAGCATGGAGAAGCTGTTGTATTCCTTGTGACTGGCTGGCCATTTTATTTTCTCTGTGTGACCGCTTCTTCTCCTAGATCAGGTACCAGATGAGGTTGAAGGAAAGATTCCTCAGGGTCCTAGTGCTTGTTCAAATCATTGTGACTGCCACAGATTGCATTGGCAGACTGGGTACTATTTTTCACCAATTTACTTAAACAATGCAGTTATATATTCCTTTGTAAAGTCATTGTCAAGAACTAATTGATCTGTTGATATTGATTAAATGATTTGATTGGGTAGCTCGGAGTTTCTTCTGGTGTGTGGGTGAGGGAGGTGCTGAACAAGGCTGCAAATCTTAATTAAATTGTTCATGTGGTAAGATTTCACAGGAATTTTATAACTCTTCCCAGAAAACTATTGGTGCTGGGGACAATCCACAAATTTCAATGCTGAGATTAATAGATTTGTAAGGCAGGGACATTGACAGCTATGAAACTAAGCTGGTCAAATTGGAGTTAAGATGGAGATCAGCCACAGTTTAATTGAACAGTGAACCATGTTTCAGGATCTGAATATCCTATTGCTGGCTATTCTTATGTAGAACTGGAATACATTGCTCACTGTCTACATACCTTCGTGGATTTTTCTGCCTCTTGTAACACGCTACAGGAGACCATGAAATCCCAAGACCACATCATTGATCATCCATAGAGCCATATGTTAATGTATCATTCCCTTAAAGTCCATTTTTTAAAATGTCTGTTCTCTTCCCTTCATGCATACCCTAATTTTCTCAAAAAAAAAATGAATCAGGCACAGCACAGTCCTTCAGAAATCAAACTCAATTTAGGATATTTTAAAATACTCTAGAAAGAAATGAAAATACTGTGACAGATTACTGTTTATTTCTTGTATTTTATTCTTGGTTGTTAGTCAATACAAGTGACACTGGGCTGAACTTTCCCTTTTTTTTTGATGAAGTGTTCAGTTCAAGTGAGATTCACTTGAAACCACCATAGCCCATGGTGACTTTTTTCAGAAAATTTTATGCTTGTCTCATCAATTAGGCAACAGGGGTATTTGGCACCCATCTCATGGAATTGCATGGCAGGGGAGCAGAACTGCTTGCTGCTACTGCCAGGACTTTGCAATGTTCACACCACTGCAACCATATAGAAACACCAAATGCACACCACTTCAGACAGTACAAATTAGAAACAGCCCTTCACCTTCTATATTGATATTCCAAAGGGGTTTGGAAAGGCAAGTTAGCTCCTTGATTCAATGACAAAACTGAAGGCAAATAGAAAGGCTGTGCTTATTCCTGCTGACCAGCAAATAAGGCTTTCACACCTGACTAAGCTAGCCTGGACCAAAATAGCTACTTGGATCAGTTCAGTGCCATGAATGAAATACAATGCCCAGCAGTGCAGGAAAGTGAATGATCTTCTACTCATGCAAGACAGGACAGGACTTATGCACTTAATGGTAAGGTCCTGGGGAGTGTTGTTGAACAAAGAGACCTTGGAGTGCAGGTTCATAGTTCCTTGAAAGTGGAGTCGCAGGTAGATAGGATAGTGATGAAGGCATTTGGTATGCTTGCCTTTATTAGTCAGTGCATTGAGTATAGGAGTTGGGAGGTCATGTTGCAGCTGTAAAAGACATTGGTTTGGCCACTATTGGAGTATTGTGTTCAATTCTGGTCTCCTTCCTATAGGAAGGATGTGTGAAACTAGAAAGGGTGCAGAAAAGATTTATGAGGATGTGCCAGGGCTGGAGGGTTTGAACAATACGGAGAGGCTGAATAGGCTGGGGCTATTTTCCCTGGAACATCAAAGGCTGAGAAGTGATATTATAGAGGTTTATAAAAACACAAAAAGCATAGATAGGGTACATAGGCAAGGTCTTTATCTGGGGTGGGGCAAGTCCACAACTAGAGGACATAGGTTTAAGGTGAGAGGAAAATTATAGAAGGGACTTAAGGGGCAACTTTTTCACGCAGAGGGTGGTGCATGTATGGAATGAGCTGCCAGAGGAAGTGGTAGAGGCTGGTACAATTACAATATTTAAAAGGCATCTGAATGGGTAGAGGAGTAGGAAGGGTTTAGAGGGAATACGAATCAAATGCTGGCAAATGGGACTAGATTTATATACGATATCTGGTCGGCATGGATGAGTTGGACCAAAGGGCCTGTTTTAGACTGTATGTCTCTGTGATTCTACAACTATGACAAAGTGCCGCCATCTTCTCTCTGCTGCCTCTCACTCACATAACCACCATTCACTCAAAATCTGACGTTGCACCCATCTTCAGCCAAGGCTCTTGGATTGCAATATTCACTATTGAATACAGCATTTACACTCAATAAAAGTCAAATCATGCCCCCAAATTACTAACCTTTCCTAACCTCTGCACTGTCTACTCAATTTATTGGGGTAACCACTTCAAAGTACAAAATGAATGAGCACTACAAAATGAAGCTAAGTGTCAAAACATGCATCCTGTAAAGATATGCAAGATGTATGCATATTCCTTTGTGATAAATGATCTGGCAGAAGCATACAACTCATAAGTGTTCTTGAGCCCCAAAGTGAAGTCCGTAAGTAATGTGCGACTTGTTCTGAAAGTAGGTATCATAGAGTCATAGAGATGTACAGCACCGAAACAGACCTTTCAGTCCAACTCGTCCATGCCAACAAAATCTAGTCCGCTTCGCCAGCAACTGGCCCATATCCTGCTAAACCCTTCCTATTCATATACTCATCCAGATGCCTTTTAAATGTTATAATTATACCAGCCTCTACCACTTTCTCTGGTAGCTCATTCCATACACACACCACCCTCGGTGTGAAAAAGCTGCCCCTTAGGTCCCTTTCAAATCGTACTCCTACAAATCATGCCACTCACCTTAAACCTATGGCCTCTAGTTTTGGACTCCCTGACTCCAGGGAAAAGACCTTGACTATTTATCTTATTGATGCGCCTCATGGTTTTATAAACATCTATAAAGGTTCCCTTTCAGCTCCGACACTCCAGGGAAGATAGCCCCAGCCTATTTAGCATCTCCCTCTAGGTCAAACCCTCCAGCCCTGGCAACATCCTTGTAAATCTTTTCTGAATGTTTTCATGTTGTACAACATCCTTCCTATAGCAGGGAGACCAGAATTGAACGTAATATTCCAAAAATGGCCTAACTGATGTCCTGTACAACCGCAACATGATCTCCCAACTCCTATACTCAATGCACTGACCAATAAAGGCAAGCATACCAAATGCCTTCTTCACCATCCTGTCTACCTGCAACTCCACTTTCAAGGAACTATGAACCCACACTCCAAGGTCTCCTTGTTCAGCAACACTCCCCAGACCTTGCCATTAAGTGTATAAGTCCTGATTTGCTTTTCCAAAATGCAGGACCTCACATTTTTCTAAATTAGACTCCATCTGCCACTCCTTGTCCCACTAGTCCACCAGATCAAAATCCTGTCATACTCTGACATGACCTTCTTCACTGTCCAGTACACCTCTAATTTTGGTGTCATCTGCAAACTTATGAATCATACCTCCTATGTTCCCATCCAAATCATTTATATAAATGACAAAAAGCAGTAGACCCAGCACCATTCCTGATATGGCGAGACTGATGAGTTGCTGATGCTGACTTGCATGGACAAATGGTGAAGAAGGACATTGTCCCTGGAGCATGCAGGGAAGTTGTGAAGACAAAGTTGGTTGAAGACCCAGAGAAGCAAATGCTCAGCTTCTCTCACCAGGAAGCATTCTGACTTAGTCACTGACCATTTAGTTTCTGGGAGGTGGACATATAAAGCTGCATATAAATGACATAGGTTTAGCTAATAACGAGGTGTAAATACATGGAAACAAAGCAGTCACTGCCCATTAGCAAGGTTTAAATAGTGATTCAGAATCCTAACGGGAAAATAGAAGAATAATTTGAGATGGACATTTTTCCACTCTTGCTGAATTTTCTCACACTTCATGTCATCTCAAGATGTGGAGGTGCCGGTGTTAGACTGTGGTGGACAAAGTCAGAAATCACACAACAGCGGGTTATAGTCCAAGAGATTTATTTGAAATCACAAACTTTCGAAGCGTAGTCCCTTCATCATTAGGTGAAGTGAGAGAAGCACACAGTGCACAGAATTTTTGGGCAGAGTGATCAGAAGATCACACAAATGGTGTGAATTGAGTGTCTAATAATAAATCTCTGCAGGCGACCAAGAATGTTAGATGGTGTGAGTAAAATGTCAACAGCTGAATAAGTCTGCAGCAAAGTGATGACCTATAATCTGATTAAATAAGGCAGAGAGATAATTACAAAAAAATTAGAAATTAGAAAGTTGGAGACAAACCAAATGATTGGAATAACATGATAGGTATAAGATGCGCGTGCGGAGGGTCTAACTAAAGTAATAAGTAATCCAAAACTGTACAAAATAACTAAGTTTGAGAAATCAAAAAAATTATCAAGGTGATGGTGTCAAAACAGGACAGTAAGGAAGACTTTACAGATACAGAAGTGTGGTGGGTCACATGTAGCGTGACATGAACCCAAGATCATGGTTGAGGCTGTCTTCATGGGTACGGAAGTTGGCTATCAATTTCTGCTTGGCAATTCTGCATTGTTGTATATCTCGAAGGTCACCTTGGAGGGTGTTTACTTGAGGATTGGAAGTTTGGAAGCTGAATGCCCTTAACCGCTGAAGTGTTCCCCAACTGGGAGGGAACATTCCTGTCTGGCAATTGTTGCACAGTATTCATTCATCCGTTGTCGTAGCATCTGCAATGGTCTCACCAATATACCATACCTCAGGGTCTCTTGCCTGGAGTGTCTGAGGTAGACAACATTGGCTAAGACACGACTATCTGCAATGTAAGTGGTGGGTGGTATTCCCACATGTGATGATAGTATCCATGTTGATGATCTGACATCTTGCAGAGGTTGCCATGGCAGGGTTGTGTGGTGTTATGGTCGATGTTGCCCTGAAGGCTGGGTAGTTTGCTGCGAACGATGGGCTGTTTAAGGTTTGGCGGTTGTTTGAAGGCAAGAAGTGGTGGGGTAGGGATGATCTTGGCAAGATGCTCATCGTTGTCAATGACATGTTGAAGGCTGCGAAGAACATGGTGTAGTCTCTCCGCTCCAGCGAAGTACTGGACAACAAAGGG